CCAAGGCACAAGCTGAATACACAGAACTAAACAAGCAAGTGAAGAGGAGCATCAGAACTGAAAAACGTAAATATGTGGGAGATTTAGCAATGACTGCAATGAAACATGAGAGAACTGTATGACATAACAAAGAAACTTGCTGAAAATCACCGTAAACCAGAACGACCAGTGAAAAGCAGGGAAGGCAAGTTACTCGCCAACATTGAAGAACAACGAAACAGGTGGGTAGAACACTTCAAAGAACTCTTGCATCGACCAGCCCCACTGAACCCGCCCAATATAGGAGCAACACCCACGGACCTCTCAATCAATGTTGGCCCACCAACAATAGAAGAAACAAGAACGGCCATCAGACAAATCGAGCGACAAAGCAGCAAAACCAGATAACATTCCAGCAGAGGCACTGAAAGCAAACGTAGCGGTAGCTGCAAGGATACTTCACATTCTCTTCAATAAGATTTGGGATGAGAAACAAGTACCAACACAAGTACCAAATCACAATATTACGGATCATTGTGGAACAATCAACTTAATGGAATTCATCTCTACATCAACTTCAATGACTACGTGAAAGCATTTGATACAGTGGACAGGAAAATACTATGGAAGCTTCTTCGACACTACGACGTACCTGAGAAAATAGTCAAATCATACGGAACACCTATGATGGATTAAACTGCAAAATCCCGCATGGAGGACAGCTCACAGACTCATTCGAAATAAAGACCGGTATCAAGCAAGGTTGCTTACTCTCACCCTTTCTCTTTCTCCTGGTGATCGACTGGATCATGAAGACGTCAACATCTGAAGGGAAACACGGGATACAATGGACATCTAGGATGCAATTGGACGATCTAGACTTCGCAGATGATCTGGCCCTTCTATCCCGAACGCAACAACAAATGCAAGAGAAGACGACCAGTGTAGCAGCAGCCTCAGCAGCAATATATCTCAATATATACAAAGGGAAAAGTAAGATTATCCGATACAACACAGCATGCACCAATCTAATCACAATTGACGGAGAAGATATGGATGATGTAAAAACCTTTACATATTTGGGAAGTATCATTGATGAACACGGTGGATCTGATGCAGATGTGAAAGCGCGGATCGGAAAAGCAAGAGCAGTATATTTACAACGGAAGAAGATCTGGAACTCAAAATAACTGTTAACCGACAGAAAATTTGGAGAACAACAAAAGCCATCATCCAGAAAATACAAGTGTTTATTAACAGTTGTCTACGAAAAATACTTTGGATCGGTTGGCCAGACACTATCAGCAAAAACCTACTATGGGAGAGAAGAAACAAGATCCCAGCGGAGGAAGAAATCAGGAAGAAGCGCTGGGAGTGGATAGGATACACATTGAGGAAAGCATCCAACTGCGTCACAATGCAAGCCCTCACTCGAAGTTCTCAAGACCAAAGGAGGAGGGAAATTCCAAAGAACACATTACGCTAAGAAATGAAGACAGACATGAGAAGAATGAACAACAATTAGACAGAACTCAAAAAGAAGGCCCAGGAAAGAGTGGGTTGGAAAATACTGATCTGTGGCCCATGCTCCATTGTGAGTAACAGGCGCAAGAAAGTAAGTGAGTCAAGTTGCCATACCTAATTAGCATAGCACGACGAACACCGGATTCATAGAAGCAGTTAACTTAGTGATGTACGGATATAGTATAGGAAGAAAGAATTTGTTCGTAGAAAGCATAAAGTAATCATAGTTTAAGGGAAGACAGAGATCGTATACACCTACGCCATTGTGATCGATTATGAGCCATGTTACCCACAGTCTCCAATCATTGGTTACGAGTCACGCGGACCCCAACAAAGTAGTCTGCATCTACCAACATGGCTAAGACTAGATGTCGTGGTAATCGGTGTTCAGGCACACGTAACACGTGGCCCAACCATCTCAGTCGATGAAGATTCACAACCTCATAAACTGATTTATCATCATTCCCTAATACCCCAAAAGCCTAACCTCACTATTACTTACCCGATGATCCCAGCAGATGCGAGCAATATTTCTAAGACATCTGTGATCAAATACCAGTAACTTACGAGTATCTTCTACTCTTAATGGCAATGTTTCGCAGCCGTAAAGTAGAACAGAATGAACTACCGAGCAGTACACTCATCCCTTAATTGATAGACGGATATCTCGCCTTCGCCATAGGTGACGTAAGTTGGTAAACGTCAAACGAGCTTTTCGAATCTGTGTAGAGATTTCGTCAGACACCAACCCATTAGGGCTGATCAGACTTCCAAGATAAGTAGAGTTGTCTACGCGTTCGACTACTTCACTCCTGATCCTTAGTTCAGGTGTTGACGCAGACCAGTCCTGAAACAACAACTTGCATTTAGAGGGGGAGAAGCGCATCCCAAACATCCTGGCATTGTTGCTCAGTGCTACCAACAGATACTGCATTTTATCAGTGTCTTCACCAAACAGGACTATATCATCTGCGTATTCTAAGTCGATAAGTGGACCTCTTGGTAGGAGATCAATGCCCGAAAATTCAGTCGATGAGAGCATTGTTTCCATCAGTATGTCTATGATGAAGCTAAACAAAAATGGCGAAAGTGGACAGCCTTGCCAGACACCACTTGAGGTTGCAAAAGCAGATGACAGTTCGCCGTAAGCTCTTACTCGACTAGTAGTGTTCGAGTAAAGAGCCTTCACAAGGTTTACGTACTCCTGAGGTACGCCTTTCAATGACACACTGCCACAGAACCTCTCGGTTCACGGAGTCAAGTGCTGCTTTTAAATTAAGGAAAACTATCATTGTCGGATGCCGATAAGCATGTCTGAGTTCTAAAACCTGACGAATAGTGAATACGTGGTCGATGTAGCCACGACCAGGTTTGAAGCCAACCAGATTTTCTCCTGTTTGAAATTCACGAGTCTTTGTTAAGCGTCCGACACTTATTGAGGCTAGTATTTTAGATGCTATATTAGTCATACTAATCTCTCTATGGTTATTACAGGATGATTTGGATCGCTTCTTATATATTGGGACAATCAGTGACTGCGACCAGTTAGATGGAATTACATTCAGTTTCCAGAGTTAGTCTAAAATATTAATTAACCTAATCGCTAAAACTGAACCACCATCCTTAAACACCTCTGGAGCCAATCCATCCGGACCAGCTGCTCTTCCTCGTTTCAGATTAACTATAGTTTTTTGGACTTCCATCAGAGTCGGAGGCGGCTACTTCAATGTCGTGTCGTCTTTTTCTAAAATAGTTTCACACTTGACCTTTCAGTTGCAGTTTCTTCTATGAATCTGAAGATTTGTATTGTGTTCACCATAGCCACCGCCTTTCCCGTCTCTTGGTTTCGATGCCCACCACTGCTCACGGTCGTTCTTCAAACTTTTGCTTAGCCTAGATCTGATTTTCTTTCATCATCGTGTTCAGAGCCTGATAGGATGAGTTTACGAGAATCCATCAGTGCAACAGACCTTGAAAGAATGCAATGGTTCTTTGTAACCCCTTCGTTTACATCATTAATATATATCACCTCTGTTTTCACAACTGCTTGTATATCTTTCCAAGCAACATCTGGGCCAGCCTCATTTTCAGAACTACCTGAGTGTGACCTCAGTTGTTCCGGGAAACTACTTTCGGCTTTCTTGTCATTCAATTCAATTGTAATGTGTCTTTTTGTGTGGCTTTTCTGCGTCCAGTGAGGCTCAAGCAAATATGTGCCCGGGATTCTAGAGTGTCAACCAAGGAGGCATGCTGATCGATTTGATATAGGGTTCGTACTTTGAAGGCTCCAATGTGTAGTTTGGAGCGAGGTTTCAGTAGACCTGGGACAATGTTTTGCGCACTAGAATCGTTGGCTATGATGACATTTGAGGACGAAGTTAAAAGAGGAAGTTTAGTGCTGAAGGTCGCCGTAGGAACAATAATAGGAACTGAAGAAAGACGTTGATCATGAATAAAGTGGTCTTGAGTGCTGTTAGAGGTATGAGTGCGATTATCACTTCCTGGTCGCCCACATCGTGCAAGGATTCTTCGGGAGGTACCTGGAAAGGAAATCGGAATAGAGGTGGTCTTAGTAACGTGAGAGCGTGACCGCAGTGCCCAAGAGACAACTGCTTGAGGCCAGTCACACACAACCTTATGTGAGTAGTTTTCGTGTTAGCTCCGTACTTGTTGGGACCTTGTAGCCGGAGACGGATATTCGTGGGAAAAGGCGAGGTGTGCATTTTTAGCGTCGACCTTTACTAACCCCACTTCTCCTTGTGGAAAGGCAGCATCGCTGTCATGCTAGTTGTCTGAAGGAATCACCTTACTGCTGTCGCACCTCCGTACTGTCAGCAGTAAGACTTCGCCTTCAGATTTTGGGTTTGTTGCTTTTAGTCTTACCGCTCTCCAACCGACCTGTTTGGCATGGTACGATCTTGAAGAACGATTGTTCCAGTCAGTATAGCTCGATTGGTTTATCACGATAGGCAAGCCCGACCACCACGTCAAGGTATTAACAATTATTACGTTTTAAATGAATCGAGTGTGAAGCAGTTTATTCAGTGAAGATGATGAACGATAGTTACAAAGTTTCACGGATTGATTGAAGTTGGATCTGAGAACCATTAGAAGCTAGTTCAGTGATCTAAAGGCAAGTTGCGAGATTTCTTCCTTGAATCTCTGGCGGAGTCGTGGATGAACAATGCTGAGGAGTCACATAATAGGAAGAAACACCTGTACAGTGCCTCATTGTTTTTAATGGTTACACAACTTAGTTCGGTTCATGATTATAGTGTCAACTAAACTGGGAGTGAGACATAGGAAAAATAACAACATTTATTCAGTAATTTGATAAATATATGCAGACATAACATAATCCTACCGTACAAAGCTGGCATGTACTGACTGACTTCACTCCCACCTACCCAGCTTTTTGTTCTTTTACTTTACAACATGGTTATTTCTATATCATATCTGTTGATATGAAGAAATAGCACAAATGAAAACAAAGTTGGTCAAGATATATTACTGATATTTTATTGATTAAACTATAGCGAATTCGAGTATGTACATTATTTCATATTAACAAGTGACTCACATCAGACGATGTACAATAAATACTATCCCATCGTTTAATCTACGCACTGACTTGTTCATTCACTTTTCTCTTTATTATGTATGTTCTGCTCTAATTTGTCGAACTGTTCTTTGGATACCGCATCTAATTCATCTTCAACTTGTTCGACGCCTAATACGTCTGGTATATAAAACTGAAGCATATTCTGTACACCATTTTTCAAAGTAACTACGGAACTAGGACAACTTGAGCAAGATCCTTGTAGTTTTAGTCGCACTATACCATCTTTAAAATCCTGAAAAACAAATGATACAGTTTAGGAATTCATAGAAAAAACATATAAATACGAAAACACATACCATCAGGAAAAATGAATTCCCTACGATAAGTGAAGTGACCAACGCGTTCAACTACTTTGTTGTCTATGGTCAGTCTAGGAGCTGATCCGGACCAATCCTGAAGCAGTATTTCGTATTTATAAGGAGAGAAACAAACTCCAAACTTGCTTGTGTTGTTACTAAAAGTGTTCATAAGGCTGTAATTTGGTAGGGTTTTCACCAAACTGAACCACGTCGTTCGGACAAACGGATCCCTTAATGTGACCATTTCAAATCAAATGAGGAGCCCTCTGACACTTTACATATTTCTCTGATACACCTCATAGTGGCAAGTATTACAAAAAAAAAACCAACCGACGCCCGAACTCTAGTCCTAACTTTAAGTGGGAGAATATGATTAAAGTCTGTGATCAATAAATGTTTCCGCGTTGTAAAACGTAATGAAGGCTAAAAATTTGCACAACACATCAACAACCACATCTAAGCCTGTTTTTTCAAATTTGCAGTGTTCCTTGCTCCATTTAGACGTTGAATGATTATAAAGGCTAATATTTCAGTCACACTCATCCCTCTGTGGTTATCACTAGAGGAATTTAATAATTTTTATGATTTGGAACGACCAGGGGTCAAGACCAGTTAGGAGTGATCACGTTCAGATACCAGATTTTAGCTATTATTTTATCCAACATAAGTGGTATAATTGTAGAACCATACTTAAATAACTCCGGGAAAATACAACTCGAGCATCCTTGGGTTATTAATCAAGATGCTCAGAAGACGTATCATCTTAGGTGTCATACCATACAGGACCATGTCAACTGTATAGTCTTAGTCAGTAAGTTAATTTCGTTATATCCTAGTGAAGATTAATTTACGGGTAGCTTCTGAGATCTATTAATAGAATAATATTATATATTCCTATTGTATGACTGTCCCGTAATTAAATTAGGTATATCTATATTCCTTTTATTAGAAGCTTCATTTTGACCTGTAGATTATTACTGTACGATTTACTGTTCTTAAATTATGTTCAGTTTATTGATTACTGTCTCCCACGCTCATAGCCACTTGTGGCTTTATTTTGTATAGATGTTATTTCCTATTTTATGGTGTGAAGCGGTCTGTTTGACTGGTATATAAACCAAGTATGTTTGAAATAAAGAGTTCGCATGGCGGAAGCTGTTATTGGTGTTCTAGACTCAACTGGACGGGCTAGGGAAGCAAAGGACCAATAAGGACGCTAGGCTGATCAGACCGGTCGGACGTCGTTGGTTTAGTACAGTACAAGAGTGAATAAGTCATATTTCGATTGGCGAATAAATTACGTGATAACTAGCCAACCTTAAAGTCACAACAATGTACTGGGAGAAGATGAGACTAAGAAAGCATTTTCAACCTATGAAGTCAGTAAGTGGTGTAGCGAACTTTGTGTTGTATAGAATTATGTTCAGTGTCATATATATATCATTAAAAATTTACAGCCAGTCTAAATAAGTGGGCCGACTTCATAGGCTTTCTTCACAGTTATTCAAAAAATGAAATAACTTGAAATAAGGTGACAGTAATGTAATTGCAAATCACACTAAATGGAATATTATTCATGTCATATATGCTAACAAATACCAAGCTATTAGTTGTCTAAACAAAAGACAAAGAATACAACACTACATGAACAACTGAAATATGAGATTACCTTGAAAATAATATCACCGCCGTCTTCTTGAACAGTGGGTCTTATTCGAGTATCCAGTAGTTCTTTTATCATTAATACTGTTTCATCTTCTTCATCACAGGTTTTATCTAAAATTATGAAGCTAAATTTCTACACATCTGCAAAACATGAGTAAAGTTATAGAGAGCTGAAATTCGAGTTTTTTTACGGAAACTATTTAAAATAACCGTTCAACGGTCATAAGTACTAAGATATTAGTAACACATAGTTTCTTAAGGCTGAGAAACTATGTAACATTTGTCAACGTCAATGACCTTATAGTTTATAAGTTTTCGGAAACTACCATTTTAGCATTCGGAAGTATGTACAAAAAGAGTAGTTGAAAGTTTACACATATTAACTTCCGCTGAAAATGATATGATAATAGATCCTAAAGATTACCGATTATTTGATAGCAACGAACCTGACTAGTGTACAAAATTCAAATAGGAAGGATTTGTAATATTAACTGAACTCATATATCTGAAAAAGTCTTCAGAGTACTTAGTATATAAACAGTAATTAACCTCCAAAAGTTATGCCACCGATTGAGAGTATATGGACGACTGAATAAAAGCTTTTCTCCAATCAACAGAAAGAGCTGATGTAAAACTGCGATGTCAGGTGACAGACATATGAGAATAAGTTCGTGTAACATCACCTCCGAAATTGCAGGTTTCAAGAACATTTAGTAGCTGTATGGAACTCGTCAATGTAAAAAAGTAAAGCAGCAAGATCAGAGTTCCGTCGGATTTTTTTTACCTAAATCGTTGTCACAAATCAGGATTTCGAATAAGGAATTAATTCTATCTATATTTGTTGGTAGTGAGAAAATAATTCGACTGTCTCCAGGAAACGCTTTGCGTAATTGTCTGGTTATAAAAAAAGGAACATCAAAAGCTTCTTCATTCGAAATAAGATGGTCACGAAAGGGTTAAATGAATATTGTCATCTAATCTGACGACAGGAAACAGTTTTCACATGTCAGTTACTACAATTCCGTGTCAACTTTTTTAAACACTTACGTATGTGGATATGTTTATCTTTGGCGTTTTCACGGACGGTTCCTCTATCATGAGGTCCTCACGTTGACGAAAGTTATACAAATGAAATACTTCAATTACATGGAGACTGAAAAAAACAATTAAGTACTTAGTTATCTTAAGACTTTTCGTAAATTACAAGAAAAACACTTCAGGACTGCTTGACATCAAAATTAAGTGTTAGCAGTAGGTAAAATGGTGATTATAGGAGTAATAGATGAAGCGTGATTTCAAAACGCCTTTTATTTCAGTTTTGGACTAACACACAGAAGCAACCATCGGATGATAGTAAGAGTAATTATTAATGAACATTGAGAATTGTTAAAATAAGTGATGTCGTTAACCGTAAACCAGTTGAGTGCATACTGACGAGCAAGAGCCACATGGAACACCGAACTCCTGATAATTAACATGTTAGAACATTGAAAGTACGACAAACTAAAAGGTAATACTTAACGTTTGAAATATTTTAAAATTTGAACATCAACAAAAATGACAATCAAATTATTGTATATCGCAGTATCTTACTTAAGTCTTGTGCTTTTTCTTCACTGACAACAGGTTGTCCAGAACTGTAGAAATCCATTATAGTTGCATATACATCAGGTTTTATTACAGCCCATTCAAAGTCGTCATTCTACCACTTGTCATATCGGAAAAATCATAAACAGACCTTAGTAATCGTGATGAAATCAGGACCAAAGAAGACTCGTTCAACCCCTTCGATTCGAAACAACTGTCTAAAGTTTTCAATAATTTAAAATAATTCGCACCTAGCCAACGGGGAGGACGTGGATTGTGTGCAAGATGGAAAGTCTCTAGTACCAGAACCTAGTACAGGTTTACCAGGAAAATATTTTAAGCTGTTAGGATTGGGAGTCTCTTGGACTTGAATAAATAATTTTCTAATCCCTGATAAAAAATTACAAGGCTGAATCGAGAGACCTACTTGGTTTGAATGATATCGACTGAGTGTTGATTAACCGACGAAAACTGTTGAGTACAAGCATATTTTTTCTAAAGCTTTAGTTGTTAACAGTAGTCAGTGTAGTAAACATTGACGGTGAAAACAATCGGATGAGTAATAAAATATGTAGATAATAAAATAACTGTACAATAACTCCATCAAAACATTTTGTATTATTTTACTGAAATATGTCACTAAATAGAAGACACTCATGAAACGTCTTCCTAAAATAAAAGTCTTCTGCTATAAAACAACTTCAGATTTAATCCCCAACCAGTTTAGTAGGTATTGCAAATCTGACTGTTCAGTTCAAGCAAACTGGAAACGTATATTTATACACCTGTCCACAGGTGATAAATTATGATTATAAAATGCTCTGTAGACCGAGATCAATAGCCGATATATTTACAAAAGAGGTATGCAAAGTTCATTCTATTCATGCACACAACATATTAGACGACTATAAGTGTGTGCAAGTCAAAAGAATCCCACCTGCGCATGTCAGCGATTTCAGCCCGTCTCAACCGTCAGGTCGCTGACTACGTTTGGGGTCAAGTAGTTAGTACTTTGGAAAAGGATATCTCACAAAGCGTATGTTTTAAGAGCTATCAACCTGTGTAAGCCGAGTAGTTACATGATTTGTCAAGGAAACTATAAAGGTCGACTTAGCTAAAAATTAGACTTGTCACACTTGACGGAAGGGTGAAAACAATAGTGGAAATATAGTGAAATAAACAAGAAAGTAATTTAATAGAGGAGAAATTAAACTTGAAGTAATGGCGTGTTTTTACTCGCTTATCTATCTAATAAGTAAGATCCCATTTTTCTCATTTAACGTCAATGTACCAGCACTCTTTGACACATGAATTCTGTTCCCCTAAAGAAAGAAACTGATATATGTTTATCGACCAAGGTATTTAACACCATAAATAAAATAGGTTATTTGATTTGTCTTTTTAACATTATGGACTACATGCACAAAACCGATTATTTAGAGTTATATTTTCGCACTCCCTTTTCAACGAAACGATCTAATCAACCAAGCTTAACATAGGCGAATAAGCATCTAAAAATTGGCAAAAAAAGTTTTCAGGCCTTAAGTATAGGACTATCAATTCGCTTTAAGAGATTAAAACACTTTAGTTCAGTTTACTAGGGAGCTCTAGTTAGCAAAAGAATCAATGGGAATTAATAAGTAAATCATATCTGAAAATATTTAGCAAAATAAAAGAAACACAACAATGTACTTGAAAGTATAGTTATATTGGTTAAATACTTTTGGATTCACAGATACTAATTGCGCACTGTAAGGACTTATTATCCAGTCAAACTGAAACCAGTTTGTTGAGAGTTCAAACGTAAACACCAACATTATAATTACAAAAGTCTCTTAGAGAACTACATCTTCCAGTGAATAGTAATTAGATCGGGATAGTAATACCAAAAAAATCCAGCAGCTAGTACGCCTATTACTTCGAAAAAAGATACTACAGGCCAGTTTAAATCACATGTTGGTAATAATACCGGTGTACCGTCAACTTGGGAAATGTTAGCTATCTCTAAACTGCAGTGTTTTTGTTCATGATTCTTTACGACCAAAAAACCTCATAGTAGTAGGTTAAAAAAAAGCAGTATTTACTCTCTCTGCTACTGCCTTGTTTCTGGCATTTGGCTGTTTGAAATGATTGAAGCTTTAAGTAGGATTGTCATGTAGGTACTAAGACGATCAATACAAACACGAAGGGAGCTTTCCAGTACACAAATTAATGTGCCGAAATGTAACATTTTCATTTATTTATTTGAACACAATTATATTTGTACAAAGAGGCACCGAATATATATACGCCACACAAGTCACTTGATTTGTGAGTGGGCTGTTATACTGCCCGAGTGCCCAAACTGAAGCAGGTGGTTTTCTTAGAGGGACACAACCAGAACCTCCGACCTCAAGGTCTAGTTCACAAGGCAGTGGAGCAACGTAAGCAGATGCAATCCCATGGTAATCGGTGACGAACAATAGGTTCATATGCCATTTTTCCTTCAGGATACTGGAGCCCATGTGCACCATTGGTTTGGACTCAAGGTTTTCCAACTCCCCTGTGTGGGGTTTCCGTGTCCAGCGACCCGGTTAAGGCGCCGGATATTCGCTTTTTGTCCTCTCAATTTCGTAAACAACACTCCAGCCGCAAGAAGAAAGGTAGTAGAATTACCTAGCACTGGCTGTATAGGCGTGACCATACGGGCATTTCAAAGAGAGCTAACTCTCCCCACTCTCGGCCGTACAAAGGAATTTAAGAGGGTGAAGCCCCTAACACTGCTACTTTTGACTTACAACGGTGACATATAGAACAGGAAAGCTAGGGACGATAAATCTCCTGAAAGTGAGAAATCCTACGAACAGTGTTCAATATAATTTAATAGGTACTTATGAAATCATAAACACTGAAACATAGCGAAATGAACTGTGAAAAGGTAACTGTTACGTAAGCAGGCACATTACATTAGTTAAAGAATGGGTTGACTAGCTAATTAACAATGACTTCAGGAATATTGACATACTACTAAAATGCACTGAAGTTTTGAGTAGTTTGCGATAAGACGTGTGCATAACTAATGTTTAGACGCAGTTTGACTTTATCTGAAGCATAACAAAAGACATTATTTAACGTAATTCAACTGCAAAATCAATGTGGAATAAGAGATATATCTTGCATTATTACTAAGTACCCAATCTCCGGAGATTAGGGCCCTATTTCGGAATTTACCCAAAGTCAAATGGTCTTTCCTAGAGTTTCAGATAATCTGTATACCTGAGGAAATGTTGAGGTTTTTGTACCATTTCCCTAAAACGGATAAAATTTTCCGCAAAATTAGGAGATAGGGTGACACTACATTGTTTGAATAAACCAACCATACTAGTGGTTAGTTTGGCTTTCAAGAAGCAACTACGTAAAAATGCTCCCACACGTCATCACTTTTGACTAACTTCTTTCACTACATAGGTACCTGAATTTGTATCCATCAAGTAACCTGAAAATATCATCCCCAGTGAATTTGAAAGTCCCCCAAAGTTTCAACCCAACTTTGAGGAACGAGATGGTCTATTAATCTTGAGTTTTCAAAAAGTGAAGGACCACCGAAACTGTACTAGAAGACTTAGTTGCACAAACCAAAAGAATATCAGGGTAACGCACCCTGTAAATTAAGCGCCACTAACTCAGAATCCCAATAGACAAACATTGTATTCCAAATGTGATTATTTTATTTTATTTATCTCATTTGTCGTTCTCATACTTGCTGTCAGCCGAATTCATGAATGAATGATGGTATATTCCATGAATTAACTAATTCTCTGGATCGCTTTTTTTTACAATAACTTTTAACATTCCTCCACACGCTTCCAAAGTGCAGCATCCATTCTGGGTAGACTCAGAGCGTTCATTATTTGCATCTCCGATAGAGTTGTATGGCATACAGTTGGTTTATTTGTCTCCAATTTATTGTCAATATTGAGCTGAATTTCGTGCGAGTTCTATCGCATTATATCTGGAATGGTCGTTACTTCAGGTGTGACATCTTTTTCCCAAGTTTCAATAATTCATTCGACTGAAGTATATGATCTGTCATAATTATAAATCTCTAATATGTTAAAATTGTATTGGTTGTTTATTAAGGTCTTCAAAGTGAGTTGAGTAACCTACTATTCTTTGGATGTGTTTTAAGAGGTTAACATCAGTATTGTTTGGAGTTGCTGTGAGCGTTTGTTGTAGCTATTCTTAACTATGAGGGATGTAATACTCTTTAATGATGGTACTTTATAGTAAAATCAGTTCACTAACTCAACTGTAAATGTGATTTGTTAGATAATGCTTATACGAGAGCAGGGGCGAGCGCGTATATATAATTTAATTTTTAAAAATACACCATAAGTTTATTACGTATATTGAGTTCATTCAGAGGACAGACTATTTTCCATTGTTGGAGGTAACTTAAGAGGTTTTTAGTCTTCTAGCAGCAGTGGTTCTTAGCCATATGGTCTGTGAAGCTGAATATATGATAACTGAGAAGATTGCCTTTCAAACTGTAACACTTGGAAAAAGTCGAATATGGGGAATGTTGGAACGATCGACTGAAATTGCGAGCCACAACCATGCTGGCAAGGTTACTCCATTTAACCGCTAGCTTTTTGTTTCAAATATTTCATACTCTTCCTAACCCAAATGTGTTCTTCGTATTAGTGATCGTCACGTAGGGAAAGTCCGTGCAGGGATACTACAATGTTTATAATTAGTAGAAATCCACAATCAACGCAGTAAGCGAGCACAGAGAGAAGTGAGTGAGAGTGAGCGTAGAAAGCAAAAAAAACAATCGGAGAAGCCATATGGGCGAAATCAATTTAACTCAACATTTATAGTCAAACAAAAGTACGTTACAGACATGTGGTATGTGAAATAGGAAATGCACACATCCACTTACATAAAAAAGTTCAAGGTTGATTAGCGGATAATTATCATGGTCCAAGTGTTACTCAAGAAGAACAAACAAATTGACTTGTCCGGAAGTTAGAATAATCCATGTGGGCTTCACATAGTGACCTACACTTAATACTTGATTCATTGGTATCGACAATTTCAACCATAGATTTTCAAACACATTTAATCACACTCCCTGTGGCCTATCAAAGATCATTTCCACGATAATACGTAACTCTCATGGACACTAACGTTTAATCCATCCCTTTAATACTTTCAGAGTCTCACTCATTGTAGTATGTTCACTTTTCCTATATTTCAGCAGAAATGGAATTATTAGCAATTTTTAATATCCCAACGAAATTTTCTGTATGACCATTGGAACAAGGGTGTTTGCGAGCAGCTGACAGAAATTTATGCATTATACCACTCAACAAGATAACGACTATATCTGAAGCCAGGTGAGAGCCGTTATCAATCACTAAGCTGTGAGGACGTCCTCCAGACTGAACACTTTACTTAGTGTCTAGATTGTGATATCAGAATTTGGGAAAGTTGTGAAAAAACCTCGGGCCGAGAAATGGATCCCGCATGAATTCTGTGTCAGGTTTCATACGATACTGACCATGAACTCGCTTTTAGAAGTTGATTTTTCGACATTCAGGTCTAACTCAGTGCTCCAAAACTGCACCAATACTAACATCTAGTGCACCAGTAATGATTACGACATGTACACTGGAGGAGCAAATTTGAATAACCGCATCACTTTGCGTGAAGGAGTGCCTTCAACTGTGTGAGTTCAGTAAAAGAAATGCAATCAGCATCAAAGATCAAAAATTTACATAGCTATTGATTTTGGGAATTATTTACCGCTATTTACCGCAGCTGTCCATCTCCAAGTGAAATGTCAGAATGTTTCAGGATTTGAGTTTATATCTAACTGTTCAATCACAAACACCCTCGTGACGCAAATAAGATTGAATATGTCACAGGTATTTGGTGTTTGACAACGTTTTAACTAATAACACCTACTATGAATCGTACCCACCAACTGAAATCGAAAAACAGAAGCGAGGAGGTTCGAAGATATATTTGATAGACTATTAATATATCGAGGATCGTCTGATCTAATCTGGCTTGCGATTGCAGGGGTTGTTGAGAACGGCGTTGCCACTCGTGATGTGGTGCGGATGCATGATCGAGTGCCTCCAACTAGGTGGGTCCATTAAAACTAATGTGGTCAGCATCCAATATCGAAAACTTGCAGAGCTATTTATTTTGGGAATTTATTTACCGCTACAAGATGGTAGTCAAATTGACTTGATAACTAAGAATTACTAGAACAGTCCAACTTAAGTCGAACAGAGACAGATGAATGCAAGTGAACGTATGATATTACGAATGATAGCTACAAAAATGAGTGCGTTATACATGAACGGGTAATTTGGTTATTATGTTTCATGGAGAGCCGATTTGTGCGGTGTCTAAAAAAATGTACGTGTGTGAGTGAAATGATGTCAATGTAATATTTGTCAAAAAAGAAGGCAAGGAATTTCAAACATGATCTGTGAAACGGATCGTAAACCTCATAATAACACCTTCAATTTTGATTATTGAATTGCATTTGTTCCACGCTATTACTAATTATTTTCAGTTGCATTGTTGTCGATTACATTATAATGACAAATACTTTTCGCAAACTTTTCTAGGGTTTCGTACAATAAGCAAAAGTATTTCTAATAGGCACATTTTGGTAGACTAAAAAAATGTTTTTTCTGGTAGATCCAAAATCTATTCTCGATATACTGATTGACTTGAACAACGATGTAATTTAACCGAGCATCCTAGTCTAAGACACTGTAAGTGGTCTAAAGCACTTAAGATACAGAATAAACACTGTAAAATTTAATTCCAAAATTACGAATTTCCACTTTATTCAGTTCTTAACAATGAAAACAAGTGGATGTCTAAAAGTGCTTGTCAGTAACGGCCACTAAATTGATGACAAATGAGAGTATTTTAAAACGTGGAAGAACCTGTTAGAAGTAACTCCATCGCGAGACGAATATTGGGAAAGTTGAAATATTCGGTGATATCTTTCGGGTTATTAATAATATCGTTTATATCTTTATTGTATTATTAGCAGACGATTTTATTGTCAATTTCTAAGTTCTAATTATTGTGAGCGTTGAATGTACATTTGAATGTTGTTATACGTTTTGCAATCCCTTAATTATCGCTAACTGAGTATGTTCTGTCACCTTCAACCTATGCAATTTATATTATAACTGTAATTGAAGCGCTGCTTGACTAGACGTTTACAGTTTATTCTCGAAGGGGTTCTTAGTCATAATCGAATTAGGGTATTAAAGGACTTATCTGTCAATTACCATCATTTTCTGATTAACTACTAGATTAGAAAAGGCCTTGAGGACCAATAAGCGTTAAGGCCATGGTTCTCGCTCATTGATCATTCTACAAATTGGCAAAAATGTTCACCTGTCCGACTGGCAATATAGCATGAGATATAGATTGAAAATTTCAAGTCATTTCAAGTCTGCGGTGTTATCGAAATATAACAGGAAAAACACCTCCTGAGGAAACTCCCGTCTTTAAAAAAACTGTCTGTTCTCTCATATGGTGATTTAAAACCAATTGTTATGTATTGTTTTCATCTAGCCTGCTCCAGCATGTATAGGACTCCATAAAAAGTTGATTTATAATTTGAGCGATCACGAAATGTCTTATACATTCACTGCCAGGAAAGTCCTACTCATTGTCTCCACGCAGCGGGAGTGTTGTTTACGAAATTGAGAGGACAAAAAGCGAATATCCGGCGCCTTAACCGGGTCGCTGGACACGGAAACCCCACACAGGGGAGTTGGAAAACCTTGAGTCCAAACCAATGGTGCACATGGGCTCCAGTATCCTGAAGGAAAAATGGCATATGAACCTATTGTTCGTCACCGATTACCATGGGATTGCATCTGCTTACGTTGCTCCACTGCCTTGTGAACTAGACCTTGAGGTCGGAGGTTCTGGTTGTGTCCCTCTAAGAAAACCACCTGCTTCAGTTTGGGCACTCGGGCAGTATCACAGCCCACTCACAAATCAAGTGACTTGTGTGGCGCATATATATTCGGTGCCTCTTTGTACAAATATAATTGTGTTCAAATAAATAATTATAAATAAATATCTTTCATTTACAACCAAATAGCTGTGAAGTTTGATCAGCTGCATAATTAGAGTTCAGTTAAACGAGTAACTAAAATCTTATATGCCTCTTTATTTTTTTGCATATAGTAAATGAAAACTTAGAATTAAAACTTTCGAAATTCTATATATATTTACAGTAGCTTATTATAATACCAACTATACACAAGAAAGTTATCGAAGTAGCAATAAACAAAAAGACCAAATCTGAAGTTTTCAAAGTATTTTGACTTTTGAATTCAATACCAATGTACATAGTAATTATCTGAATATTAGTGGTTGTGTAATAATTGTAGAATATCCACCATCGTTTGTCAGAATCATTATAGTTCGATTGCTGCCAATAGTAATTAATTTCTGAATGTTTACTTTAAAAAAACGGATATGAATCTCAATTAACAGACTAATTTTTCCCAAAAATCACTTCATAGAACTTGTTATACATTGTTTGACTAACAAAAATATACAAAACTAACTGTTTGCATATAATGGCAACCTAAGAAGAATGACTACGAATCAA